TATGTTTTGTCGACTTGCCGAGCATTCATGTTTTGTAAATGTTTCACTCGGTAGTGACTTCTTATTGATTTGCGTGTGTTAGACTTGGTGAGTTAAAGCTTGTTTCGTTAAAGCGTCATCTCGCCAATGTTGCCGAGCTTACATGTTTCGAAAATGCCTAACTCGGTATGAACTTTGGTTCCTCATGAATTGTTGAGCTCAAAATTCTTGTCGACGTCTTCAAGCTAACACATTTTGTTAGTGCTTACTCGACACTAAAAAATGTTGTCTTTGTTGCGTTTGGGCTCGTTACTTCGATGTCGGTAGCAATCTCGGCCTTCTATTCGATTATGAGCTCGGCCTAAGTCTTCGTGACGACCTCGGCCATCTTTGTAACGAGCTTGAGCTTGTTAAACTCGCCGCTTTGTAGCTGATTGCCGAGGTCTCTCCAAGATCGTTAGTGCCGAGGTTGTTTCTTGGCGAGTTTATTGCTTCGACATGTCTTTAGTACTTTAGTAAATCGGGCGTATCTTGCTGACCGTAACTCCGAATGATATGATTTCAACTTTGTTGGAAATCTGACTCAAAGATCTCACTATCCATCACTAGGCCGAGCTCTTTAGCTGGTTGTCGAGGTTTCTCCAAGATCGTTAGTGCCGAGGTAGTTTCTCGGAAAACTATGGATTGGTGCTGAGATCTTGCCATTTTATGTCTTTGCCGAGGTCTCCCTTGAGTCAAGGTTTAGAGGTCACCGCCGCGGTCACTTGGAACTTGTGGCGAGGTTGAATCAAGGCCTACTTCGATTTGTTACCGCCGACTTCGACAAAGATGGCCAAGGTTCAAGCTAACACATTTTGTTAGTGCTTACTCGACACTAAAAAATGTTGTCTTTGTTGCGTTTGGGCTCGTTACTTCGATGTCGGTAGCAATCTCGGCCTTCTATTCGATTATGAGCTCGGCGTAAGTCTTCGTGACGACCTCGGCCATCTTTGTAACGAGCTTGAGCTTGTTAAACTCGCCGCTTTGTAGCTGATTGCCGAGGTCTCTCCAAGATCGTTAGTGCCGAGGTTTTTTCTTGGCGAGTTTATTGCTTCGACATGTCTTTAGTACTTTAGTAAATCGGGCGTATCTTGCTGACCGTAACTCCGAATGATATGATTTCAACTTTGTTGGAAATCTGACTCAAAGATCTCACTATCCATCACTAGGCCGAGCTCTTTAGCTGGTTGTCGAGGTCTCTCCAAGATCGTTAGTGCCGAGGTAGTTTCTCGGAAAACTATGGATTGGTGCTGAGATCTTGCCATTTTATGTCTTTGCCGAGGTCTCCCTTGAGTCAAGGTTTAGAGGTCACCGCCACGGTCACTTGGAACTTGTGGCGAGGTTGAATCAAGGCCTACTTCGATTTGTTACCGCCGACTTCGATTTGTTGCCACGGTTACTGGGTTTTGTGTAGAGGTCTCCTGGTGCCGAAGTCTCCTAGTGCCGAGATCTCCTTGTGCCGAGATCTCTTTCCCTTTAAAATAGGCCGAGGACGAGATGCAGTGAGGAGAAGTCGCCATTGTCACTGAAACGAATCCATCATCGTGGTAAAGCGGAAAGCTAAGCTAGGATCTCCTATGCCGAAGAGAAGTCTCGACACTTTGGCCTTAACTTCGATTCGTAGTGGTCGGCACCATCCAACTTACCATCTCGGCACCGTCACGCTTTGCATAGTAGTCGGCGTCATGTTCGATCCGTGATAGTCGGCATTGTCTTCACATCTCGGTAGTTGATGTGTTGCATTTTTAACGCATTCTAACCCGTGTTTTTAGTGTTTTATCGAGTATTTTCTTTGTTTTTAGAGTCTTTGCAGGTTGAAATATGTTTGGAACGAGTCTAAGGCAAGATGGAACAAAAAAGGAAGAAAAGGAATAAAAATGCTAAAATTAACCCCAGGATCGACCTCAGGATCCGAATTTACGCAAAACGTCGGGCCAGTCCAAGATCGACCGAAGGCTGCGTTTCTGATGACCGGATCGATCGGTCTACATGTGGATCGGTCGATCCTAATCCTAAACCAGCCTAAAAGAGAAAAAAATCAGATTTCCTAATTTTGCTCAGTTTCGANCTAAAAT